CCTCCCATCTTCTCTCTCTATCCCATCTACTGTAATTCATTTCTCTCCTTGTTTTTTCTTCCAATTCCCCTCACAACCTCTTTTATGTAGTTTGAAAAGGCAGATTTCTAACAGAAAGAAACTCCTTTAAGACATAAGAAGTGGTTGTTACCCAGCAGATCAGGACGATGTGGAAAGCTTTGCAAAAGGAGCCCCTTCGTTGGGGTTGTAGTTTTGCTGGTGTGAACTGTGATTTTAGGAAGAAGCAAGAAAAAATTCTGACAAAAGTAGATGGAAGAAGATACAGACAAATTTGCACACTGTAATCCCAGCTACTGGGGAGGCTGAGGCAGGAGAATTACAGGTTCAAGGCCAGCCTCAGCCACTTAGCCAGGTCCTAAGCAACTTAACAAGACACTGTCTTGGGCTAGAGTTGTGGCTCAGTGATAGAGCACTTGCCTAAAAAAATAAAAAAGAAAAAAAAAATTAAAGGGCTGGGGATGTGACTCTGTGGGAAAGTGCCCCGGGTCCAATCCCCAATGCCAAAAAAATAAAATAAAATAAAATTTAAAAAAGACTTAACTTGTTCCTTTGGTGCAATAAAGTTTACATTTCTAGTACATAAACCTGTCTTTGCCGTCTTTATGAGAGTGTTAGTTTTTCCAATCATCCCATCCTATAAAATCTTCTTGGTATTGTTTAAGTGATCTGACTTCCAGAATATAAAATTTATTTCAAGATTTCAGTTATTAGTGAATGGGAAGTCTACAATTTGCATCTCTGTATTTTCCATGAAAAGATTATTTAGCCCAGCTGGTTCTATGTGGTTTGTTTAATAACCGAAACATATATCCTTTTTTCTTTTTGTCATAAAACCAAGACTAATTTTTACAATGTATATGAATGAATGATTACAGCTAGTATTTCAGGTGGAGCCTGAAACGTAGCATTTAATAAAGGCAAAAGAAAAATAAGGGCTGGGGTTGTGGCTCAGCGATGGAGCGCTCGCCTAGCACATGTGGGGCACTGGGTTTGATCCTCAGCACCACATTAAAAAAAAAAAAAGTAAAGATATTGTGTCCACCTGTAACTAAAAAATAAATATTTTTTAAAGAATAAAAATAAAGTTTGAAAGCTGTTTAAAAATCTTTGTTTCTTGGGCTAGAGGTGTAGTTTGGTGGTAGAGCACTTGCCTAGCATGTAGCCAAACCCTGGCTTCAATCCCCAGCACTGTTTCTCAGTTTATACATCTGGCTTGTCCCTTGTTTCTTTGGTGCATACTAATTAAGCACTAAAAGTGGCCTTCAGTTAGTACAGTAGTGTGCTAGTCTGCAAGATATAGAGGCACAGAAACTTTCAAAAGAGAAGCAGTGAAGTGTAAAGTAGTAACCAAGAAGTATAAAGTGATGCCAAAAACAATCTCTCTGAAATAGGCACTTAAAAAATTTACCATCGCAATTATATGCTTATAAAAGGAATATTTCTTTTCTAATTATGTTTCTGATAGTTAAACGTGAATGACTGCTCTAATTTCTTACAACTATTCTAAAGTTATATGAAATTGAGAGGGAGAGCTGGGTATTGTGGCTCATGCCTGAAATCCCAGTGACTGGGGGAGGCTGAAGCAGGAGGATCTCAAGTTCAAAGCAAGCCTCTGTAATTTAGTGAGACTCTGTCTCAAGATTTAAAAAATATATCAAAGGGCTGGGGATGTAGCTCAGTGGTAAAGTATTCTGGGTTCAATCCCCAGTACAAAAAAAAAAAAAAAAAAAAAAAAAAAAAAAAAAAAATCATGCCACTAAGTACTGTGAAAGCGTAGGGAGGACCTTCTTTATCCTCAAAGACTTGAATTTCCAGGGCTGGGCAGGATTGCTATGCTGGCCTGTATGTGACTCAGCCTGGGGGAGAGGAGGAGGGGACAAGGTTAACCACCTGGTATTGGACCACACTGGCAGCTGTTGAAGCTGCCACTATGCTTTGACTTGTTCCAAGATGCCAGATTCTAAAAGTGGGGAAGTGGGAGTTGTATATAACATATGTATTGATAAGATACTACAAAATTCAAAAGCATCAAAGAGGCAGAAATCATTTCACTCCAAAACTCAGGTTGCTTTCCTAAGAACTCAAACCTTTATTGAGCACACATTCAACACAGACTTTAGCAAACTGTGTGTCCACTCTGGGGACTCAAAAGTTGTCACTTGATTTTTTTTTCCTTTTGTTTAGGAACATTGTATTTGGGAAGTCATTTACTAGAAAATATCCAAGTATCACATAAATTCTGCAGGTCTAACTTTCTGCTAACTTCAATTCATGAATAAAGTTTAAGTTCATTTTAAATTCAACAGAGCTAATGTCTCTGGCCTCCTACAATGATATCACAGGAAGAGATTATTGCAGCTTCTATTTCAATGGCTTTTCCTTAAAGTGAGCACTGAAASTATAAGTGAGTGGGTGGTTAGGAAATTGTTAGTAGTTAGTGTCATCTCTAAGATGTAGAACTCTGGAAGTGAAAATACCTTGGCTCCCTAGCAAAATGTTTGAATGTTATGCCACCCAGRCACAAACTGAGCAAGACCTACAGAGAGCCCAGAGCTCTACTTCTATGATATTTGATTTTGAATGTCATTAAAATGAAACTTTCAAAGACATCCACAAATAGTTTGGGGCACTGGTTGTACTTAGTGAAACATCTGTGTAAGATTTTGAGTATACTGAGAGTCCAGAAAAAATCTTTTCTATTCTTCTTAGAGATAAAACTGGACACATTGTCTCCTACATTTCAACCCAAATTCAATTTCAATAAGATTTTCAATTTGATTGATAACCAATCATTACAGAACAGTTTGAATGGGTCTAAATTTGTGTTAATGTTAACGGCTTATAATCACCTTGATGTTAGGTCTTAAAGCTTTATTATCCTTAAATGCCAACTAGTATAGTGGACCATTAAACAGCAAAGTGATCTCAGAAGATATTGATTGGRGTAGCAGCCAAAATCTTAAAGTGTCTAAATTACTTTTATAACAACTTTATCACTGAATATGCATGTTATGTTAAAAATAATCATTAATTTCCCAATTGAGTTGTTTCCCTGGCCTCTTTGCCTGGTGCTCTTAAATTTGAACCATTTAGGCATATACATGCGTCTCCAAACTATTACTGTATAAATTTCCTTGCTAAATATTAGTAGTTCAGAGCCGAAGATTTCTTAAGGGGAGGGAAAAAGCAATCCACAGGAAACGTGTTGAGCAGAGGATGGCAACTCCGTCCCTACTCCAAGCTTGGCTTTCCTCGGGCTAGCCAAGGATCTACACCGTGGCTCTGCCTACCACGAAGAGTGTTAACTCGCTTCTGTTCAGCTTCTAAAGTACTGTTGAGTTGGTGACACTTTTCGAGTGTCGGACTGAAGCAACCGCGCGCAAAGGGCTTTTTCTGTCCCCAGCTCCATCTCTACGGGCTACTCGTGCGTCCTGAGACTAGGGCGTCGGGTGAGAGTCCGGGCGGACCGGTGGACGCCTGCCTCGGGAACCCCGCGGGAAGCGTAGAGGTAGTGCCTCGGGACAGATCTTCGCCCCCAGTCCCCTGCTGGGACCCTGCCCGCCCTGCTGGCCGGCCCCAAGTTGCCGAATAGCTCGGATGCTTGTCATATTTGCGGTCGCGCGACTCAGCGGGCTGTGCGCGCGCTACACTCGCCGCCGCCTTTGTCACTAGCGGCTTCGTCATTCGCCCGTGTTCCAGAGTGTGGAGGGTTATGGGTGGTAGCCGCGGCCCTCCGGCCAGAGTGTCTCCTTTTCTCTCTCCTCCTCTTTAAATCTTCCCCTAAGAGAAAAAGGGCGCGCCGGGAGGAGAGCGAGCTGTGGGCGGGGCTGCCGTCCGAGGCCTCGCACTCCGCCTGCCCCTTCCTGCTGCTCCGGCTGCTGCGGCCGGGCTCCGCATTTATCGCGCCTCCCGGGACCGCCAGGGGAGGGTGGGGCGGGGCGAGGGCCGGGGGCGGGGCCGGGCGGCGGCGGGGCGGGGCCTGCGGAGCCCGGGGCCCGGAGCTCGCGGGAGGCTCGCTGGCCGCACGTCACTCCTGCACGGCGAGTGCTGGAGCACGAGCTGCCGCTCGCTCGGCCGGGCGCCCCCTCCGCCCGCCTCCCGCTTCCTCCTCGCTGCCTGCTGCCGCTGCCTCCACCATTGTATAATGCTCCGGGCGCTCAGGCAGAGGACGCCGGAGTCTTAGCTTCGGTCTCGCCTCCTGCCCGTTTCCCGGCGCCACCCTCGGGCCCCCGGCGGGGCACTCCGCATGGAGAGGGAATAGCTTGAGGAGTGGGCGGAAACCCCTCCTGATGCGTTAGTTCCCAGGTGGAGCTGCATGTGGTAAGTTCTCCCGGCGCCGGGTTGGAGGGGATCCTCGGGTGCGCTGGGCTCTCGGGTGGGTGGGGGGCGGTGTTGGGAGTCCGCCAGGGCCGGGAGGGGGGAGGAGGGGGCCGGGCGCCTCCGCGAGAGGGACCCGGGACTGAAGCAGGTACGAGCCGGAGCGCTCCCTCCCTCTACCTCCCGGCCCCGCACCCTCGGACCCCCGGGGCTAGGGCCGCGACCCCCGCGTCCGCGAGCAGATCTGCGGGGGGAAGGGCAGGGGCCGGGCAGTCACCGGCCGGGGTCAGGAGGGGGTCGGGAGCTGATGAGAGCCGAGCGTGGGGAGGAGGGAGCCTGGAGCTGTCGCCTTTTCCAGCTGGGATGTGTGTGCGTGTTGTGACGGTTGTGTTGTTGTGAACGTGCGAGACTTTTTTTTAAGGCTCAGATTGCTGGCGCGGAGGCTGCTTCACTTTGGAGTTCCGTGGCCGGGTTTGCAACCAACTTGATATAGTGTGTTTTTGTGAGTTCCCCAGTGTTTTTATATTAAAACATCCTTTCCACCCTCTCTTCGTCCTTGTCCAAATGAATTGATTTTGGATCCGAAGGTATAGCAAACTTATCGTCTGGTTGGTTTTTCAATTAGAAATCTACAAGTCATCTTCGTGGTAACCGCCTATGACGGAGAGGGAGGGGGGCTGAGGGGAGCCAGCTGTCCCAAGCCCTAGACTTTGTACCATTAAGAGAGGGGTGCCGTCAGAGGGCTATTGCATCGAGAGAAAATCCTGAATTGTTCTTATTTTTCTCCTTGGCCATAAATTCTCTTACTTTCAGCAGAGCTGGTGGTAATCGATTCAGATGAGAGCTGAGTTTTTAAGTTTCACGAAAAGATCCGATGTAGTTTTCTTAGAATGACTTTTTGCTTGCAAGCTGGGTGGTTTCAGGAGGTAGAAAGTAAGTTTTTACAGGCACAGAATGGGGAAGGATAGTCAATAGGGTGAGACAACTAGCCTCCGACTTCAGCGGTTTTTATTTGAATCAAATTGGGCAGCCCCAGTCAGCCTTAAGGAACTGAGTGAATGTTTTCAAGCCTTATTCATGAGATATGCTTTTTGATTTCCCAATACGTGTTAAGAAATGTTTATAATGTTTGTAAAGAGCCTAGAAGTTGTAGTCACCAGTAGGATTACTGAGGCCCTAAGTGTTCTAAGTTGCTTTTTGTAATAGGGCTTTGGGGTCCACTCAAGCCTGGGAGGGCCATCCACCTGAGAGCCCTCAGTTGTTTTGCTGATGGGCATAGTTGCTCAGCTCACCAGAAGGCTTGTCTCACCCTAGCAGCTCCCATTCCTCCCCCTTTTTATAGCAGTCTATTCTGATTTGAGTGTGCTGGGAGGATGAAAATACCCATCCTCAGATCCCAGCTTCTGGCATAAGTAAGAATAGCTTGTCCCTGGGTCCCTCTTTTCCTGTTCATTTTATCAATTTCAATTTAAAAAGAGATATAGAGACAAATGTTTAGATTTCCTTTAGCTTCACTGACTTAGAGGTTTTACGTGTTAATGTAAAATTGTGTTGTTCACCAAGTTACTAATCCTTTTAAATAATTTTACTTCTTTCCCCTCCTAATTAAAACATATATAACCATTTTGCTCTGAAGTGAGAAAACTTACAAAACGGATTGGATGCTCCCTACCCCTGCCCTTAATACGGGGTGCTGTTCCTTCACTTGAGCAGGTAGGGGAGAGGGCTCACATTTTATAATGCCAACCAAATATACCACAGGAGGTGTCCTAGGGAACAGTTTTATTGTCAGGCCAGTGTCACAGCCTTTTAGGTAACAGCTGCTCAGGGTTGTTTCCATTAAAGAACTAAGAGAAGGATATTAACTCAGATTTAGAAAATCTTTACACTCCTATCTGCTGTATTATACCTCATTAAAACTTTTTAAATTTAATTGAAGAGCTGAAATATAAATTTGTCAGTTGTTACACACTAAATTATTAATAATAAGCATAGTAAAATAGCATAGATTTCAATTTTTAAAAATTCACTCCAATTTACCTGGTGACTGATAGCCATTATTTTAAACAGTCCACAGTCAGTAAATGTTACACCCTACAAACTATCCCTCAAAATATTTTACCCTTTAGTTAACAAGAAAGGTAAAAGTTGCAACAAATGTTTAGATGTTTCTTTTGCTGTGGCTTGTTTCTTGTTAAAGAACACTGATAAAAGTATAAACTTTATATTTCATTTATATCAGCAGAATCAAGACCACTTTGTTAGTATTACATGCAAATAAAAATGGATGCAGTATTTAGGAGGGTGAACTTTTAATTCTCTTGCAGAATTTTTAAAACTGTATGGCTACAGAAGTTTCATATTTGCTCTCTATCATATTAAGTAGAAATAGCTCTAGCTGCAGTAGTTTCTTGGTGAGAGAGAGAGAGAGAAAAAAAAAAAGAGAAAGGTGTCTGTGTCTCTGATTACTGAGTCCAAAGATCAGGTGTATGCTGAAGGCACCAGAGGGCAAGCTCCAGTTTAAGTGAAAAATGGCCTCACCGTAAGGGTAATACCAGCCCTCATAGGTCTTTCCATTAATTAATTCTGACTAGCAGAACATGAAAATCTAAAAATGCTTTTGGCCACTGCGTATGTGCAAATAATATATTTTCTACCTACTCACTAAACAATTAATAGAAACCTACAGGCTGACTTGTGTTTAAGAAGTATGTTTAAGTATAACTTGGTTTGTTGTTGTTGTTTGTTTGTTTGTTTGTTTGTTTGTTTGTTTGTTTTTGCAGTGCTGGGAATTGAACCCAGGGCCTCAAGAATGTTAGGCAAATGCTATACCACAGAACTATGTCCCCGGCCCCTTAATTTAGTGTTAATATTTTTGAAGGAAACAATGAGTAACCAAAGTGGGCATGCCTTATTTTTTTTTTTCCCCTCTTCTCTAATTGTGGTATTAAATGGCCAGTGCATTTGGTATTAAAGGCAAACTTCTGCCCTGTGTGCAGATGCTGGGAAACCCTTATGAACAGAACTGTCCCCTGGAGCGTCCATCACTCATTGTGTGGAGCTGTGTCTTTCTCCATTAGCACTGCGTGGCAGTTCATTCTTTGTATGAATCTGTGAATGGCATATGTCAGCCCAATAAGAGGACATTCCTATTCTGGACAATAAATAGATGCTTTGTTTGGTTGTCCCCCCCACCCCCGAAGATCATGAGACAAACAAAAACATACTTGACTGTCTAAAAATTTTCTTGGCAATACATACAAATTAAAATTTCAAATAAAGACAGCACAATGTCTTTTAAAATACATGATGTCTAATAGGACAGCACAGATACAAACTTGTAATTTCAACAAGTACCACATACAGACAATGTAAGCTCCCTTTTGAAAATTTGGATGTCTTTGTGGTCTGAGGGGTCCTAAAACTGGAAAGACTCACTCTCCTCTCAGGATCCTCTTTCATCTGAACTTAATTGGAAATACCTGCCAGGATTCACTGAAGCAAGTGCTGCAGTTGGATTGATGTATGGTAGAAGCCCAGGATCACCTAAGCTCCATTCTGCCCCCATTGCAGTTTTCAGTACTGAATGAAGTCTCCTGGCCTCCTCTTCCACTTGCATGCTGTCTGGTGGACCTGGCCCTGCCTCCCAAGAGGGACAGCAGAACTAGGGTTGAGTGTGCCTGGCCTGGCTATGGAGATGGACTGAGCTGTGCGGATGCGTGGGGGTGAGGGGCTGAAGGGAGGGGGCAGAGGACAGATCAGCTGCCGCTGTGCAACTGCTACAGCAGGTCTGACTAGTTTGAGGTGCCCAAAGGCAGCTTTGTTTCTCTAGTAACTCTGGGTAGCAGCAAACTTAAGTTCTTAAAACTAACTCACGTCTTCGTCTTCATTACTTACTATCTTTTGGTCACTTTGCAAAAACCTGTAGCTTTGAGGGTTACTAGTTAATTATAAGATTTTTTTTTTTTTATTTAAAAACTTTCATAGGTGGTTAACTGAAAGGAAGAATCTAGACTAAGCATTTTTATTCTTCTAAGGAGTTTCACATAGAATAGTGAAGATGAAGGGATTCTGGCTCTAGCACTATATACACATACATTACATATAATTTTTAAAAAGTATTTTTTAGTTGTTGATGGACGTTTATTTTATTTATTTGTATGTGGTGCTTAGAATCGAACCCAGTGCCTCACTCGTGCTAAGCAAGTGCTCTACCACTGAGCCACAACTCCAACCATACATATAATATTTATATAAAACAATATATAGATAATACACACATACGCACACTTATGGTTATAGTGGATTGTGTGAACTCACTGAACAAAAGGAAAAAGCACACTTGACTGTGCTACGGTCAGACAAATTCAATAATCAAAAGTCCCTTGCTGCAGATCAACCTTTAGCCCTTTGCTCTCCTCTTCTCTGGCTGACTGCTTATCATTTCAGGCCATGCCGCTGCTCCTGGGGCTTGGAGCTGGCCTGCTGGAGTACCCCACCCTTGTGTTGAGAAGCATTGCCCAAGTTAGACCCAGGGAATCTGAAAGTCCCAAGGTCATCTCTGCACCAGAACAGGTTTGCATACAATTCTAGCCACTGGAATGAGATAGTGAGGCAACAACTGTTTCAAACTGATCTTCAGTGAGTACTTGTCCCATTCCCTGGTAGATGATACAGATTTGCTTTTCAGATTTCTTCCCTTTGTTGAGGGGGCTCCTCCATGTCTGTGTCTTTTTGTATCTTGCACGGTATCATGGAAGAGCCACCTGCCAGAGGACTTTAGGCACTGTGGTCTGCAGCCTAAGGATTTTTGCTTAGCCTCTCTAGTTGTCAGGAATCTGGTAATGGTCTATCTGAATAGACCATTCAGATCTTTAAAACACTGATTTTAAAAAATAGTTTTACCATATCAAAAATATAAAATAAGATTGATTTCACCTGGTAGTGATTCTTAGCTGTCTGACAGTAGTTGGTTTACAAAATCAAAACATGATTCTTCAGGT